CCACAGACCCCAAGACCCCAGCAGGTGCTGCCTGCAAACCTTGTGGGAGCAGTCCCAGCCCTACAGCCCTCTTCCTGGGCTAGGTGGGGACCCGCTGCTGGCTCTAAGGCATGGGGAGCAATGGTTACAGCTGCTCAAGGATGACTCCAGCAGTTTCTTCTTGCATCCTTGACTGGGGAAAGGGCCAGGCAGTGCTGTCTCCCATGCCAGCTTCAGGGAAGAGCACTTTCCCATACTTCTTATGAAGGCTAGAAAACCCTGGCAACCTCAGCTGGATGCTTCTTGCCTACCAAGCTCTCATCCCAAGCCAGCCAGAACCTGGTTCTCCTCCCCCTGCACCAAAGCCCCCTGTCCTTCCCCGAGCCGGTCCATGCCACAGCCCTGACCCTCCTCACACCGGCAGTGATGTCCTTGCCTAAAAGTTCCCTGCCGTGGGGCCCACCGCCGGGTCTCCAGTGGGCTGGCACAGTGCTGGGAGGACGCTCACCTGCGGAAGTCAAGGAGGGGCCGGGTGGTGGCAGGGATGCCCTCGGCCGGCCAGCTGAGAAAGTGGAACTGCGTGAGGGTGCGTGTCTCTTGCGATTGCACATTCTTCAGGTAGAAGCTGCGCACCAGGAAATCCTCGCACCAGATGTGCTCCGACACCAGGTTCACCTGCCCGAGAGAGGCAGCCAGTGGGCGTCAGCAGTGGGTAGGGGGGCTGCGCTTGGAGCAGGGGGGGCACAAAGGCTGGAGGATGCTCTTTGCCCTGGGCTACCAGCAACACTTGCCTCGTAGATGTGGTAGAGAGAGGAGCCTTCGTCCGGCCAGTAGCGGTCACACTGCTTGACACTGTCCTCAGCCAGTGGGCTCAGCATGACAATGACAGTGCAGCCGTGCTCCCACACCATCTGCGGGAAAGGCATGGGGAGTGTCACTGCTGGGTGACAGCCCAGACAGCCGCTGTGACCCATCTGGTGGGCAGCACCCAGAGGGAGCCTGATGGTCACAGCCGGGTGACACTCACCTGCCAGAAGTCAGCAATTGTGTGGGACAGGGGTCCCTGCGTGGCGATGTAGGCTGGCATCCGCGGGTCGTGCTCGATCTGGAGTGGGAAAGGGGCTGTCAGACTGCATGGGTGTCACTGGGAGGAGCAGGAGGATACTTCGGGGATGATGGGAGGGCTGGGGAGGGAGCTTGCAGGTGCCACAGCCAGGAGGGAAAGGGGTTTTAACCACATCTGGGCAACAAAGCAAGCACATTGATTGCATCTATAGCCCACAGGGATGTGCATTCAGTCCTGCTCTGTCCTAGAGTGGGATCCTGGCCTGGGATGAGCATATCATGGAGTGGAGAGGCAGGGCAGGAGCCCTTGGTGATCACTCACAATTGGACTGGCGTTGATGAAGTCGCTGCGGGACGGGTTGCTCTCGGCTTTCAGCTTGATCCGCATGTGGTCATCTGGGGAAACGGAGGCCAGGGGACATGGTGAATGCCTGGCAGAGCTAGAGGCAAGTCTGCACCATAGCCCGCCATGACCCAAGCATCCCCGCGCCCCGCAGCCCTCTGGGACCCAGTCCCTGAAGCAGGACAGCCAGGACGCTCACAGGGCACGTAGTCAGGGTTGCGATTCTTCTTAAGGTTGGCTTCGCTCTGGGCAATGGAGCAGACGCTGGGCTCAGCCTGGTAAGCGCAGAGAGCCTGCCACTCCTTGGCCAGCCGGTCCCGGTTGCGGAGGTGGTCTTCCATATAGGCCTGGGACAGAGGGGTGAGGGTCAGTCCAGAAGCTGGGAAGGGTACGTGGAGGGCCAGGAGTGGGGCTGCCACCCTGCCAGGCCAGCTCACCAGAATCATGTGTCCAGTGGATATGTCCATGTTGGATTGGACAGGCTCCTCGCACCAGGAGGGTGTGCTGCTGTGGGAGCTGGGGCTGGGCTGTGGGGCGTCGCTGAACTGGGACGAGACGCTGCTGACCCGTGAGGTCTCCGCCGGAGCCGCCGGTGCCTCGGCACGGCCAAAGAGAGACTTGGCAGCCATATGCTGGCGGCACAGCTCCTGGAGGACCCCAGCAAGAGCCCTGCCCCTCAGTCACAGTGCTGCTGTAGGACAGCCCCGAGCACCCCAAGTGATATTGATGCAGCGGTGCCGCATCCTGCAGGGTCCCACACCTTGTGGGGTCCTACCTGGTACTCAAATGTGGTGTCAGCAGCCCCCTCGGGCCCCAGGGCGGCCAGGCGCTCCTTCTCCCGCTGCTTGGCATGGCGCCGGAGGCAGAAGACTGCGGCAGCCGCGATGGTGATGCCCGCCACGCAGGCCAGCGCGATGAAGGTCAGCAGCACCGAGTGGAAGCTGTCCCCGAAGCGGGATGGGTGCGAGTAGGCAGCAGCCTCGTTTCGCTGGGGGTAGAACCAAGCAAGGGTTAAGCAGGGTGCATCTGCATGAGACTGGGGGGTTCAGAAACCCCATTCCGCACCTCATTTGGGATTGCTGGAGGCTAAAACAGAGCTAGGGCACTTGGTATTGTCTTGATTCCTCCAACACCCTCAGCTAGGGCAGAGCTGGTGTCACTTGGGGTGCTGGATGTCACTGAGGTGAGGCACAGTGCACTCACCTGTGTGTCACATGGGGCATTGCTCACCCTGGTTTTCCTGGGGCTGGAGGGGGGACAGAGCCTGCCCAAGCCCAGGCAGACACAGTCTGCTGCTCCCAGCACCCAGGGCTGCTCCCCAGTGCAGTTCCAACGTGGGCTGCTCCCCTCCAGGGCAGGCAGTAGCCCCATGGAATTTGGGTTCAATGAGCTCCTGCCCAGCTGGAGATCAGTGAGGGAAGGATTTAGCCCGAGGGGTTAATAGCAAACGATGGGCTACTGCAGGGCTGGGTCCAGGGCAGCAACCACTGCTTCCAAAGGGCTTCCCCAAATGGGGCTGGCTTTCTCCTGCAGCCACCACTCCACAGCAGGACATAGGGGTGATGTGCCAGCACTGTCAGAGGGCTGGTGCCATTCTAGCCGCAGTGGCTGGGGGGGAGGGGCCCCCCCTCCCCCCCCTCCGCTCGGGCA